TGCTAAATCGCAGATAGGTATTTGTCGCTTGTGAAAAAATAAGAATGAAAAATATAAATAAATGGATGAAACCAAGTGTTTTTTTGTTACTTATTCATGTAGCTGGTTGGACTTTGAAGAGAAAAAGAGCACGACGGACGAGGACGGGTAGTTGTTGAGCTAGCTTTCTCGCTTTGTTGGTTTGCTTGCAGGTGTTCAAAACGAATTGTAACGAAATCAAGGTCTCTCACTAAAATAATCTCTTGAATTTGGTTACGCGTCAATTTAGTATTCAGCAGCAGCAGCACTAAAGTTTCTGTTTTACAGACGTTGTTTCTCTTGGGGCTAAAATTACTAGAAATTTTGAAACTTTGTCACCGAATTGTTCATATTTTTACATTGAGAAATTTATTTCTGGTCTTAAGCTTTCCCGAATATTTATTTGCAAATACATGCCGAAAACAATTGATTTACAGCAATCTGCTGCAAAATATTTAACTACGATGGATGATGCAAGTTTCTGACCATGAGAACATTCGTGGGGTTGTTAATTCGCCCGTATACTCTTCCACCAATTGCACCTTGGTTAACAACCGTTCGTTAGTGTGGCACCTGAGCCATCTGAGATCATCAAAAATTGTGCGGATTATTGAGCGGACATTCGTCATTCGTCATTGTCGCAATTCATCGAGTACTCTTTGAACCGTCATTAGTCGTATAGTGTTTAGCAGTGCGGACGCGGAGTATGAACTTGAATGGAATCATGGTCTCCTGCTGCGAAACACGTTTGGTTTTTCACTAATCTTAAATTCAGATTGTTGTGTACTAATTTTTACAGATGATCAATTAATTTGAGGTCCTCTTTGATCACTTGAGTAGTGTAAAACGACATGTGATGATACGAAAAGCGTGAGATTTTGGATATGCGAATGCTTAGATTTAGTTATCTCAAAATTAAGTAGATATTTAATTTCAATTTAAATAACAGCCAAATTCAAATTTTAAGTCAAATACATTTTTACGTTTGATTATTCACGAAAAATAATCAATTTCATTGTAAATTGCCATTTACTAATATGGCATTCGCTTTAAGGTTTGAATCAGAGTTTGAATCTCTTTTCTCGAACTTGAATGAAATTCCAAGATAGTAAATCGCCTTTTAAAAATATTTCAGTGGGACGTAAATACATAGGCAAGTAGGTCGTGGAGTTCATTCATCATCAGTATCGTAAAATCATGCTTTGATATAACATGCTTTTTACGTTTTTGTGTCAAAAGGTGCATGTTTTGTGTTAATTTGCAATTTAAGTGCCAAAGGTGTTTCTGCAATATTTGTTTTTCAATTGGTTGATGAGATTTAGATAGGAAATACAATAATATTATTGTTCCGCGTGTTTCATAGAAGAGATGCAAGATAAAATATGTGAGGAAATTGCACAGGTCTTCGCAAAATGAATTGGGTAAAATAGGTATGTATACTTGTAGGCTACATAGAAAAAATGCAAAAAATGCGAAATCTCCGTTATACCGAATTCACTAATGATTTCTTGATCTTGAGAAGCAAGAATCAAACACATTTAGTTTGACATTAATAGGTATGGTTATTTCCTATTTTTGTTTGATTAATCTGTTCACCCATCGTAATTCCTGGAAACCATTAACCTGCAAAATGAGGATTTCTTTACAAACACGTGGAAAAGTGCAGCTTCCTTATTTCATCCTCAATTTGCCAAAGCTAAGGAGAAATGGAGTAAGTGAAGGAGAATAAGTATTCACACGCGGAGGAAGTTTGGTAGTGCCAAGTGATCATTAAATGACGTTAAACTTGTAATTGTCATCCATATGCTTGGGTTGCATCTGTTACCACAATTTGGCTGTTTTTAGTTTTACAAGAAATATTTTCCCAAACCAGTAAAGAATCGTACCAACTGCTGCTGATTCGTGGCCAGTGTTTGCGGTTGAGGAAATTTAGCTGGCAGTTGGCTCAACGCATGAAGCAGAACGGAAAGAAGTCGGGAATTTATTTATATTAAAAGCCTTTATGAAAGCGAACCGATCTGTAAATTAGAGTAATACAATGTCTTCCAAGAGTAAGAGAGGGTTTAGTCCAAACGAGAAAAAATTAAAATCACGGATCCTCCATTTTCCTTACAGTCATTGTCAATTGTTGTTGTAATGCCGTCAGATGCTGTGAGTGCCACAAGAAGGGGCTGTTCCATCATCCCTCCGTATAAACATGCATATGTATGTGCACATGATATACTTATATGTACATACGAACAAGGGAAAGGAATTCAAAAATTTTAGTTTGTCATCAAAATCTCTTTTTATGTCGAGTTGTAATCCTATTATCATTTATTAACCCGTATTATTTAGCAATTTAGGGATCCCCCCTATCGTCTCACACATCTTTTCCACTGCTGCTCAGGTGGATCTCATCATTCCTCAAAAATGCTGATTCCTCCGAGATATGGTGACGACCGGAGATCTTATCCTTCTCCCTCATGTCTCCAGGCTTCTGTTTTTTCCTATTTTCGTCCCATTCATTAATGAATCCAAGTCCTTCTGTCGTCCCTTCAGCGACACGCAATAAGGGCGAGAAATAGAAATTCTTCCTGAATCACATAATATTCTAATTTATATTCCCATATGGACTGAAAACTGTGCAAGATTACTCAATAACATGCACAATTAGTACTTTTTCTTCAATTTTCCTCAAACCACGTAACAAAAAATGTAAAATGTATCTGTACATAAACAATAAAATAAAATTGTGTACACAGTCTGTAAATTTCTACAATCAGATATTTTGTACAGTCCAGCAGAAATTAGACATCCTTTGATTTTCCGACTCTAGATATTTATATATTTTCATAAAAAGACAGTGATCTGATTGTGGCCAGATGGTGCAACCAGGAAATTCTAATCTTTCTACTCCACTGAGAACCATATGGATCAAAAACTATGCAGTTGATGTCATGGCCCTTAAATCGAACTCACCACAATATTCTCTTAGATAAAGCTTTATTTTACAATCTCAGAGAGAAGAAGGAAGCCTTGAAATAAAACAAGTTCCCGATAAGTTCCCCATTTATGTGTCACATGGGGCTCAAAATCATTAATTATCCTCAAGTACCCATTCATATGCTCATTGTCGAGATGGTAAACTCCTTTGGGCTGAGATGATCAAAGTCGCGTCTGAATACCCTTTACTTTCAGAGTCCAAATTCCATTCGGCCTTATTGCTAATCCTCTCCTCCGTCCTGAAACTTCAGTCGGGTCGTCCCCATGCACATGCATACAAGTAATTTCATTATGCAACACCAATGACTTGGCATTAAAATTTCATAAAATTATTGTACTTTCCCAGGTCTCAAAGCTTCCATCTGACAAAGTTACCCACACACAGGTTAAATTCTGAAGCATTAACCAGGTAGAGGAATAATATATGTGATTATTTATATCTTAAGTACTGCTTTCTACTTGTAAGGAAATAAGTTGTACACGATTTCCGAAACATTGAGAGATTTCACATATGGCGAGGTTAACTCTGGTTAACAGGATAAAATGACATTTTGACACAGGATTTTCATTCCATACTTAAATAATTTAATGCTGGCTTAATATAGACATATATCTTTAGTAGTACGCATGTGGGTTAGAAATGTTAATTGTGTTGCAAGCAAGAAACAGGAGAGCCCAAAAAAGGCGACTCTTTTTCTTTACACAATTACAAATTAAAAGATTCTTTGCGCACAATGGATCATAACTCAAACTTCCAACCATTCCTCCTTATCCAATTTTCATGCCTTTCAAAAATTGTTTGACAATCATCTCCCCATCTTTTCGGCCCCTCGTAACCCAGACTCGCAAGTGCTGACTCTGACTTTTTCTTAAATAAGAAAAACCTTCATAAACTATTAAACTAGGATCTAAAATCAGAACTAAAAATTTGTAATCCGAAAAGTTACATATGCGAATTTAATGCACAATTATTTATTTAGTCTATTCGATGTTGATAAGCCTTCGTATTTGGCTCAATTTGATTTTATGCATACGTAATAAACTTAATGTTTGATGCATTGCAATTGGAGCGTCTTTAATTATTCGTGGGAAGCGATGACATTTGATACAGCAGTATAAGCTTCATTAAAACATTCAGTAAATAGTGATAGCATATACGTAAATATGCATGTATGAATATGATACCACTGCAAATCCTCAAATTATAATTACGCCATAAATAAAGGAAATGGGATTACGCAACTAAAACGAGTACGGAATTAAGAAGCACAGTTCGAGTAGGTCCAAAATTGGGGATTGTCACGTACTCGGAGGAATTCTTTTAGGATAAAGAATTCGATATGCATCTGTGCCATCCGTAAAATCTGCTCTCTCCTCTTCGCTCAGACGCTAAAACATTCATTTAATGAATAGTGGTGGTGGTGAATGAAGATGAAAAGCAATGAATGAGATAACGACCACAACAGCAGATTTACGTCTTTGGTGAGATTTACTGGACGAGAAAAACACATCAATGTCTTTAAAAGCAATACAAACAATAATCTGGTGCAATTAGAAAACACCAACACGAAATAATAGTCGGAGAATGGGCAAACAAATAATTGTTAATAGATAAACATCATTTTTCAGTAATTTGACAGAGAAAATCTGCATCTTTAAGCACAATCTGTGTGGTCTGCGCACTTATTTATTTGCATGCAGTTGAACATAGGCAAGCCACGGTCAAACTAAATGTCGTCCAAGTGAAAACTTTGCACGCATTTACGGCGTGTTTCGAAATTAGACCAAGTAAACCTAAGCATTGTGGCGTGTGAAAATCACCGAGATTTTGCACTTTCTGTCATTCGAGCTATTATTGAAGTTTAGTTTTTATGGTTGCACAGATAGTCAGCGACTAGAAATTTGATGCTCAGGCAGGTTTTAACAACAGCAAAATTTAACACAATGGACTGTGAGCAGAGAAGAAATGCCAACAAAAATGATTATAAAAACCCAAATGTTTTTGATTTCATCTTTTATTTCATTCGAGTTTATTTTTTAAACTCATTTTACTTTTATCAGCGTTTGTCTTGAGAGGGACAAAACTAAATATTTGGTATCTTTGTTGTTGTTGAAAACTACTTAAAACTAAAGTTTGTATCTTTGTTTGTTGTACATACATAATTACATCTTCCACCTCCGAGTGTTCTTGAGTGCTGGACAGATAAATAAGGTTACATTTTTGTTTAAATTTGGAAATCAGTCGTGGCCAGGTTGGTTACAAAAAGATAATAATTTCTAATCTACTTATGTATTTTGTCGCATTAAATTATTTACATTGTTCGACTGGATTGTGCCATGCCATCGACAAACCGTATTTTTTGGAATGACGAACGCTGCTGAATTATACAATTACACATTTTGTAACGCTATCCGAATCCTCATTACGTTTACAGAACATTGATTTTGTCTTGAACTCAAACATGGAAATCATTTATCAAAGCAACTTGGATAATTTTATTATTGTTAAATGTATTCTAAAACTACGTAGTCTTTTCCATTATTATTATTACTTATGGACTGTTTTAACAATGTGATATAATACAGACAATAGAAAATGGGTTATCTACGCAGTTAAATTAATAAAACTCTAACTTAAAAAAACTTTGTAATCACAGACAATGAAAAATTGCTTCGAGTTTCTCGTAAATATTTAGCAGTTCCTTTCTCGTTCATTTAAATTGGCTGATAAGGCTCCAAAAACAACACGAATCTTGCCAGGGCTGAAATTTTTTAAACTTTTGAGACAGAGACGTTTAGACACAATAATTAATATAACAGGAAAGAAGGGCTTTTTCTAAATGAGCCGAATAATCCAAAGCCAATCCGATCTAAATTCTGTCTTTGAACCAAATCCTCGAAATATGCATCAAGCACAAGTATGCAGAACAGTGCAAATCTATCTGAGCGTCAATTAACTTTATATAATTGCGGGTCTCCACCACCGGATCCTTGTAAATTATCTTCACTCGCACAGCAATCATCATCACTCCATCCGCGATTGTGATCATCCAACGTATGGTTTTGGAATGAGAAGCCCATTGCATTTTCTTTGGTGACTGATGCTTTGTTGTTTTTGGAGGAAATGGGCTGACAGGGACAAATACAGCCAACTCTCGACGTATGTAACCGGGTATCGATCCTTTAAACCCGGGATTGAATAATTCAAGCCACAGAACCCGTGGGCTCATTCTTCTGTTGTTAATGTAGTTCCGTCTCATGGCTTCATTCCTCCCGAATTTTTGTGGATGTTACTCCGAGTGCTGCACAATTCAAGTGGACGTAAATGGAGCTGCTTCGCCGAGAAACTCTGTTTTCGCAAAAAAATCTTCAAGTTGACATTATGTAAAGGGTAGAAAAGAGAAATGTTCCCATCTAGCAGGAAACCGGCCTTGTGTCAACATCAGTGGTGGGAGACTTGTCCATCAATTGTGGAATCTGGAGAGAACAAAATAAAACAAGTTCATTAGTACATCTGTATTGCCAACTTTTGAGCACGAGTTTTTTTAAGGAGAACTTTCTCAAGTCATTAGTAGCAAAATTGACACTAAGAGCGAAAGAGAAGGCAAAAGTAGAGGAAACTCTGTTAAAAGTCACAAAAAGAGTGGGAGCTTAAGCTAATGGAGCTTCTTTGAGAGAGGGTTTGACTAAAAATAAGAAACGGTAAATTTTATTGTTAAAAGTACCTTTTCCTCTTTGGTTTGATTAGGTATGGAGACATTAGTAGTGGTAGTGGTAGTAGTGGAAGAAGAAGAAGTGGTAGTAGTACGGTAATGCGATGCAGCGAAGAGATGAGAAGAAGTGCGAAGTGAAGTCAATCATAGAGGATTGAAATGCTATAATGAAACAAAAAGAATCCAGACAAGGGTTAGAATTGTGAGTATTTTTAGATTTGAATGGTTTTTTTATTACTACAAATATTCAAATATCTACTTGTTCGGCAATTTCTACAGCTTTCCGTGCAAACATTTTCGTGTGAACAGAATTTCTCTGATCCTTATAATCGGATAATAACAATGTTGTAAACCGAGTTTTATTTGAGCCCATTTCTATTGAAGATCAACCTTCAATGTTATCGGAAAGATATCTAAATCAAGATTTCGTTTGACTCTGGTGAGCAAATCATAAAGAGTTGTTTTGTATTGTGATGCTGTCCCAAAAAGCAAAGGACATTTCTTTACCCTCGACACATATGGGTGCATTCTTTATCTCCTAAATTAATTCATAACGAATTTCTTGTGGGTTCGAATGAATCCTTCGAATTTGTAATCTCCAACATCCATCTAAATAATGTATGTTACTTTGTAATAATTTCAAATTCATATGCCTAAAGTTCACAGGAGTCGTCAGTAGCACAGCATGATTTTATATTTTCCTGATACAAGTGACGCAACAAGGCACTAAAAGGTTGACAAAGGTTGAGCCGAGATGCAAATTCTGATAACAGGATAACACCGGCTACAAGAATTACTTACTTTCCTGTTTGCTAGTAATTGAGCAGAGAGGAATTCATGAGGGATATTTATAACATGGCCCTGGGCACAGCACGATTGTTGAGACACAGAGTATCATTTTTTTAATAGATTTACTGCGCTGCTGGCTAAATTCACAATTGGACGAAACAACCAACGCAGAGACAAAATAATCACAATCACTGGCTTGGAATAAATGACGCGAATATAAAAGTTGGTGGTGGTGGCTGTGGTGCTAATGGATGAGATGGATTTATATGGACGTGCGTGAATATATTTCGTCTAACGTTTCGGCCAGGTGTGCATTACTCAAGTGAAAGTCTCAAATCTCAAGCCATGAAAATTGCAAAATAATGTTTCACAACAATACGCCATTCTTGGCATAGTCACGCTCCTTCAATCCTCTCTCTCGCTCATGTGGCCAAGAAGTAGCATAAGCCCTCCTAAATAAATAAATAGTGTGAGTGATGACGCCTTGGTGCAAAAAGAGAGCAAGTGGGATGCATGAGATTCAAGTGGATTTTTCAGCACATATGTATATACGTTCCTACGTACATAAGTTGTGTCAAGTTGTGTATTTATTTACAGCATTTGCTCACACTTGGTTGTTGACGTGGACTAAAAACGAATCAAGTAAAATTGCCTCGCTTTTTTTGTTATTTTCCACAGCCAAAGCGTCAAACGCTGCTCCTCAACCTGTCCAATAAACACAGGACTTTATTGAAATTCATACGCGTCTCCTCGCGTAATGATGAGGCCTAAAGTTTGGAGAATTGAGCTGCCACATCCACTTAATTTACGATAGCATGCTGCAACGCGGAGAGGAAATTATTAATAAACTCCTTCTATGCGGTTGCCACGACCAAGAAGAAATACAGCAGAATAGTAAGTTGCATGAAATGTGTATCAAGAATTCAGTTCTCAAAATCGAACGTGACTCGGAGAGGATTATGTCGTCTTTTAAAAGTCATTTCCAAGGAGGGAAGGAGTTTCACATTGGGGAACAACAGTTAGAAGCCATTAAACAACGTCAAACGATTCGAAACGAAACCACAGCCGGATCTGACCCATTCATAAGTTGCACTCTGCACGTGCATTCGCGTTCCTTCCGCTCCTGCCTTTGTACGAACGAGTGTGAAACCTTGATGAATTGTAATTCGACAAAAATCAAGAAATGCCCAAGTGGCTTTCTGCCTCGCAATTCATCCATTCTTCAGATGTGCATGTGCATGTACCAACCAACTCCTTGCATATGTACGAGCACAATAATGGTCCTGACTGAATATAATGCATCCTGATATGTGCTCCTCCTGCCTCCTTCCATTTCATTACAGGCTTCGACCAACTGCGCCCTGTTTACTATTATTATGCGACTTCTGCGATGGTTATAGGTTATCATAATCACAGCAGTCAGCTCGAATTATTTTATGTGCGTGGTTGTGAGATGTCGATGCAAGTGGTTCAATTCCTCCTTTTCATTTTTATCTTTTACAAATTATATTCATTCTCAGCAAAAATTAGTCAGCCAGCCCGTGGTGGTCGTTTAATTCATCAGCAGCGGAATCAGTAGTGCAACTGTCCTTAAATTATGCAGATGTTCAATCAACAGTCGCATTACATCACCACCACCACGAGCGAGCAGAGATATGTTACATATTATGCAGATGGGCTCTTATCAAGGTTCCTGGTTGTTTTATATGTTGTTGTTGGTTGGTGTGTGTGCGTATTTAGTTTGTGACCATTGGAGCAGCCTGAGCAGTGATGGATGAACAAGTCCAGGGGATAAATGGTGACTGAGATAATGACAAAATGTGGATTGGATGGCGAGGTGGGGGTTGAATGGTTCAAAGGATTCCAAAAGTCGGGATAAAGTGAAGCAATAAATTATTTCGCCTATCTCTCGCCATTTATTAGGATGCGATTTATACTACGTGCCTCTGCAAGAGAGGAGAATCAGAAAGGGCGATACTGATAATCACTCTGTAATTATTTGCAGATGTTCAAGTCGACGTAATTTCATATCGCCGCAGTTCATTTGAATGTACTCCGTCGGTCGCACTGGCTTTTTTGCATGCGAGTACTTCTACTAGAGACAAGTAGATGATAGTGCCATTTGTTGTCATGATATAGGAATACGTAGCATGGGACGAGGATTGTAAAAATGGTGGCTTGTTGTAAACATAAAAAGTTCATCCTTGTTGGTCGACTGGTAGAAAGGATTCTTTTGCCATTCTGCCCAGCTGCATGGTGCTGATGATTACTATTGTATTTTGTCGCTTGCTTTGCATTCTCTGCTCGCATCGAAAAGAGATATCAAGGATGAGAATCCACCAACAACAATAACAACCAGCCACCTGAGAGCTTATTGTTGAATAAAAATCCTCCAAACCAATCAAATATGACTTCCTTCTCCTTTGCACACTCTTTTTTTGCATCTCAACAGCCAGCCAGCCAGCGTCTCTCTCCTTAAAGGCAGAAAGGATTTCGTGATCTTAATAGCTGACTTATTAGGATGGAATCGTCATTTTGCGATATCCTACATGCAGCTGCAGCAGCGAAACGTAATCATCATAATGCTTCACTGCACGAGTAAAACTCTACAATCTGACCCAATAAACTCTTTCACACTTCTTTGGCTAAACACCACCATGCACAACTGATGGGCAATAATGGGCATGAGACCTGATTGCACTCTCAAGAAATTGAAGGATTGGAAAACTGTAATTTTGCCAAATCCATCAATCTCCTCCTCAACCATTCGTACTCACATTCTCGTCCAAGATTCTGCGCTCTGCGTTTTTGCAAACTTAATTTTAATGAGACTGCAGATTATATTTTGTTCAAGAAAATGAGTAATGGCGAATGTAATGAGTTGAAAGGATGACGAGTCAAAAGGCAGTGAACGATGATGATGATGTGACCATTATTCCTCTTTGTAAAATATTTATGCAGGTGAGCACTAAGTGCTGATCGTCGTCACAAGGTGTGCAATTACTACGGCGGCAATTACCCATTGAATCATTGTAAACCTTGCCTCTTGTTTCGAAATGTGAATTAAAAACTCTCAAGGGAAAATTCCAACTAATAATAATGAGGATGTATTCTCAAACTTTGCCTCGGTCACACGGGAACGGGCCTGGGAACTATTTGCTGCACAACAACTATGCCTCCTTATCCTCCTCAGAGTCATACAATCTTTGTTTTTATGGGCGGATTATACGTCAGCACTACTTTAAATTTCGTATGAGAAAATGTTGCCATTCAAATGTGGGTGGAAAAAAAGAACCGTAGAAATTGCCACGTAGGTAATTAAATTCTAGGAATTGGAGAGAGCATTCCAAGAAGAAAGTCTAAACTATGAGTAAAAACAATGTGTGGCATACCTCTTGAGATCCGCAACTGGTGTTGTTGGAGGGTGAGATGACACAGAGGGGCTGCCTGTGGTGGGAGGAGGAGGAGGAGACGGGGGAGGAGGAGGTGTTGTTCGAGGGGGACGAGTCGGAGGTGCTGATCACGTTCAGACTCAGGGCGGAGGACATCATTTCCATGGGGTCCATTTCCAGGGGGAAGCGGGAGGCACTTGGAGGAAGCCCAAGCGTTTGTCTTAAGTCCCGAATGTAGTCAATCACGTACGTTATTACTTCCAATTTCGACAACCTGAAATTACCAAAAATAGCAAGGGAATTAGAAAATGTATTCTTATTTTCTGGGGCAAAGTCAGATTTTTATTATTAAACACTTGCGAATTGTTGCATGCAAACTAAATAGCAGTAAGATTTTACATGTAATATTCAACTTTTGCAGAGTTTGATAAATTTGGTGTAAGAAAATCAGTGGGGAAGTGATGGGGAGGGAGGGAGTAGGCGAATTGGGCAAAAGTGGATAGCCTTGCTAAGGTCGTGTCGTTACGCAGAACTTGAAGGACTATCATCAAAACTCTCGAGATATGAACAACTTTGAGATCGATTTTTTGGGGGTAAAATGGCGACTCTGCTACTTCTTGACTTATTTACTCAAAAAGTGCTATACTTGAAACATTTCCACAAAACTTGGGACAATTTCATTCTACGAGAACTGCAAGTGCTTTGCATTCTAAAATTATGTCAGAAACTAAAACAATTTCTTACTTTCTGTTTTTTGGCATGAAAGGAACAAGTTCTTGCAGCTTAGTCAAATAAGCCTTGATTTCCTCGTTTTCCTCCTCCTTGTGGTGATGTTTCTTATGAATTTTCCCATCCTGGCCACGAAGACCGTTCAGGTGCATGTTGTTCCCACTGGATTCTACTGTTGCCTTCATGTTTATTATTCCTGGTTTCACAAAAATCACTTAATAATCAACTCGAATATTTCACAAAGTTCCAACGAAAACTGGATCAACTGTCACAAAAGTTTTGAGAATTATCAACTGGTTCTTTCAACTCTTAGATTATTCGACACGCGGATGGATGTGTTGCCTCGAGGTTGTTAACGAACTAACTGAGGTGGTTTCACTGAGGTGCAGTTGGTTAATAAGTCGCTTTATTTACGCTGTTACCACTTCTGCTGGGGGTTGGTAGCGAGACGGAGAGAGAGTTTTGTGCGCGTCTGTATGAGAGCAAGGGTGCAACTCGACTGAGTCTGAGTACCAGAGGGTCAAATGATTTTATAGCAGTGTGGAAATTAGACGAGTGTGGGAACCCAACCCAAACGCAGCTGCGTTCTCATACTACCGTCGTCGTCGTCGTCGCAGTCGCGGTGGTGGTGTCGGCACAGCCACGACCGAAACTTGCCCGAGACCGAATTTCAAAGCCATGTGCACATCCCTCTCAATGAACATCTATCCACCCTGCCTGCCTGCCTGCCTCTGGGAAAACAGCCTCCGAGGGCGAAAATCCAATGCCCGGTGTTTCCATCCATCCTTGCTACCTTTCCTCCTGCACTGATTTCATTGCACCGGTACTCACAAACTCATTATGATTAGCGAGCAACGGTGGAATGGACATATGGCACACGATCACACGGGGTCGCCCCAATGTCTTGCAAAAAATTGTCCTGATTGTTTTGTGACAAAAAGCGTAATGAATAATAATTAAGCTGGGTCAGATTTCATACATCATTCCAAATCGAATCCTCCACTCGGCAAGTTAAAAAATCTGTAGGGAAATATTGGGTGTGTCATGAATGGCACGAATATTCTAAGAAATGTGTTACACCAGATTGACACAGGAACTTACCGCGGAATATGCCCAAACATTAAGAAGGACAAGGAGGACATAAAACATTTATCGGAATATGTTTGCTGCACAGCAGAGCGTTAACTTCCTGGTGTAGGTTAACAACAATGTCATGCATTTTAAGTAATGATAACTCGTCTAATCCAATTCGGACGAGGCCACTCATTCGTAGTGAGTGATATTTGTGATCACTCGGTGAGACACTCCAAGAGTTCAATGCATTTTGTAATATCGAGGTTTACAATTTCTAATCCTTTCTGGCGTTGGTTGGATCGCTAGATATGGGAAAAGCTTTCCTATTTACATACACCAGGACAAGAATAATTGATTGTCTACAAACATTTGTACACAAATGCAGTACGCAGTACTTAATACGCAAATGCACACCGTGTAATACGGCAAAACCGCTTCAAAAATTCCCAATTTTGGGGAGTTTATTAAACCAAAGTATTGTTTTCCGTATATAGTTAACTGCAGTGAATGACATATTTACAGCATTTTTCTGCCATTCATGCAATTTAACCACAATCCTGAAAAACTCATGTACGATTACGAGTAGCAAATTGAGCAGGAAGAAAACATGTGAGATAAAATTGCACGACACTTTTGGTCGTCGTGGTGGAAAGCAATGTCACCCCGTTACTTGGATATTCTCGGACTTTGTTGCTCATCATGCTGCTGCTGCTGTTGTCTGTAATCAATTAGTATAAAAGGCAAGTCATGAACCACTACTGCTTCCACACACGTGAGTATTTGAGCAGTTGACTCATGAACACAGATTAATATCCACAAGTCAAGTTTGGTCGGAGTCAGTTAAACCTGATTTATGGTACTTGTTCGTCAAATATCTAAGAAATGGTCCATAAATAGACGCTCGTTCGGTCGAACGTGTTTGACTACATATGTGCACACACATTATTATGCATTTCTAACCTAACCCAAATTTTAGATCTTCAGTAAGAAGACAATTTATTTTCCTAATTCTTGTTGAATCCATGCATTTATTTACATGTGTGTGTGTGCATTCACATTTAAGGCATTGTCTTGCGTGGTGGGGGGAGTAGTAAACATGAGAATTGATGGTCTGAGAATGCATGACATGATACGCGTTGATATTGGGAAGCCAGCCTTATTCTTGCTCCATTCTTACCGTTCCATGAGTCTTGTCAAACATTCCAAAGTTTACGTCTAAATCAAGGCTTTTGAGAGATGAGAAGGCTACATCATGTTATGTTTGATAGATTAGTCGAAATTTCAGTTTGAGGACAGCAGCAGCTCTGGCTGGACACTGGAAATTCCTTGGTTAATAACTTTAACCAACTTTGTCATGCCTGTGAAGTGACCATTTGTCATTTGAGTGAATGGAGGTCGCATGTGGGGATGACATAAGTAGTTTAAATGGTTTCATTCTAAAATTAAGTCAGGGCACCGACCCACGCTTATCACTTACTCTTCCGCGCTCCTTGTCTTACAGGGTGGAAAACAAGGAATCCTGTTGTGCTTGACTGATGGCACCCCATATATAGTCGCACTGAGGCTGTGTAATAGGACTGTATCCAGTTGTCAATATGTGACACAAATGCCAGAAATCTGAATCTCATTTACTTTAAAATTACATCCTCAAATTTTCTCCAAATATGGAATTCATCACTCAAAATGTGACAGATTCTGATGAGACAAATTAAAATGAATTGCAAATGAATGAATTTATATTCATTGGGCAGCCTCTGCGCGAAAATGTCACTCTCATGATTTTAATTCTGATACAGGCCAAATTGTCACAATTGTATTTAAATAATCGTGACTAGATTTAACCTCTGATTGGAGATGAGCATCGGAGGAGGATCAAATCAAGGATGACACCTTCGTGTTGACTTTACTGACCCGAGTTATTAGCCGCTTTAGTAAATCAGATTACATTTTTGGAGGTAGACCGGGACACATCTGGAGAATTTTCATGGGAATTTGAATTTGAATAGAGACTGGAAAGTGGAAAGCAGCTCAGGAATCCGTTCAAGTGGCGACTACAAAATATTCTTGAGGAAGCTTTTTAATTCTTTATTCCAAACTTGTGCCACTTGCATAAATCCATATTTGAGGACCAGCCAGCTCCTGCCTATGCACCAAAGTTGCCTTCATGATCATCCGCAACTGCACATAGCTTGAGAAATGAATTGAATTTTGGAATGTATTGTTACAGTTGTATATTTAGTTGCATGGATTGGGTTCAGCCATCTGGGGAATAATAGAGCCATAATCGCCACCCAATAATTTCCACAGAGGGAAAAAACTGGGAAATATTCCAACTAATGTATGAATTCTTTGTGGCATGCAAATTATCCAGTGAGGATGTTTAGCTTAAAATTAGCCTTTCCCAACCCACGGAATCCTTTTTATCCTTCCCAGAAATGAAGCAATCGAGGGGGTTTTTAAGTCGGAAAATAGTGTCCGAAATGTTCTGTGACTCTTTCTCAACTGGTTTGTTTGACATGACAGATCAGGTTCTGAGAAAAAATAAATTCTCTCAAATTCAGCCTCTCTCAAGCAAACCGGGTGTTCCTCTGCTCAATTTTCCACTCCCAAGAAGAACAGGAGTCATCAGGAGCCACACCGCCGCACCAAAACACAAATAAGTAGGAATGTCTCTCTTGTCCATGTGTGTGTTATATTTACGTAAAGAATACACACAACAATCTTTCACAAAATCTGCCACCCATCCCTCCAGCCCAATCCGACCGTCTCTGGCTCGTTTTGGTGGGCAGGACGATCGACGAAACGTGGCCAAAGCTTGTAGACTTTGTTGTATGAATTTCTCAATTTCTCATCAGGAGTGATACGTCGAGGAGAGATAAACGAAATAAATAAAAGGCATAGCACGTCGCATTGAGAATTCGAAGCCCACATGCACGCAGATCTTGTTGGCATATTTGTCTCCTCTGAAGCTTCTTGGGAAACAGTAAGAAAGTAAAACAGAAAGCAGTAGGAGCCAAAAGCCAGTGGCTCAGATCCAGATGGCTACCAACGACGAATCCAAGACCAAAGCAACATCTCCGAGAAGACGCAACTCTTTCACACAGATTACCCAAAAACAATAATATCAAACTTTCAATGAGACCCGTATTTATCCACATGCCCCTCAAATCGCTCTCTCTCTTCTTCTTCTTCTCTCTGTGTGGGTTTCATTGGTTGAAAGGGTGTTGAGAAATTGATGTCAGCTCTTCTCCCAAGCAGTCAATGCCATGGATGCAGGAGAAAGTAAAACAAGTCGTATTTATGCATAGTAGAAGAAACATAATGCATGTGTGTGCAACTCGTACACAATGGACGGAAAGGAACAGCCTTTATATGTGTGTATGTATAGCCGATGAAAATAGAGGTTGGTTGGTTAGTTGGTGGTACGACTCACAGAAAGGAATCTGCCGTAGCGTCATCCAACAATTGAATTAGTGGAAGGAATCTTCTCAGCAGTAAAACTTTTATTGAGTGTATTTAGCAACTGAATGGGACGTAAATGGAAATCAGAGTCAATACTTGCTCTTCCACCACAATGGCTTGCAGCAGTCACTGTTTCTCAATAATGCACATGCAGAGGATGAATTGCCATAAAAAATCCTCACTCTTCTCTGGTTTGGGTTAAACCTCCGTTTATTTTATTTCTGCGAGAGACGAGGAGCAGAGAATAATGTGACAAAAACAAAACCCGTAAAAGCAGATGGTAGCCATCCCCGAAAGAATAGTTCAAGGAACATGATGCATTCTAGTCAAAATCTTTCGGTGAGAATAATTCTCAACTGAGAAACCAATAACATGTTGAAAAAGTCGTGAAAAATAGGCTCGAGGAAAACCAACGTGTGGCCGTGTCGCATCTCGTCGTCTTTTTCTTCTTCTCGCGATGGGGAGAACTGCCAAGAATAGTTTTCGAGTGAGGAAAATATCAGCAATGGTTCACGTAAAACTGCGTATGCTATTTAGCTAGCTTCTGAACGGGCAGGGACACAAGCCGGGTGTTTGGTGGGGAAAAGAGTTGACTTTAAATCCGCAGCCGGCTCATCATCATGTGTCCTGCGAGAGACAAACTGCTCTGAAAAGGGCTCACTTACTGGGATCCTCAAATACACGGGAGAGAAATAGCACCCGAGCCGGGTGTTGTTTTCACATGCAAAACATTTCATCAAAAATTCTCCACCCGGCTTTCCTCGATTCCTTGTTAAATTGTTGTCCTTCCTGGTCCAGATGTTTAATCCAGAAATGCCAAATGCTCAATAACCAACTACACAAACCAATACATGGACATAAATTCTGATGCGGAGAACAACGGCATATGTACAATTTCGACCGTTATCAGTTTTCTATCTACCTTTCTCTAATTGCAGCTGGAATTTCCAGCCTTGTTTTTCCATGCATCGTATTTTTCAAACAT